GCATTTCTCCAAAGGAGGTTAGTTCGTTCTTTCGTACGAATTTGTTCGTGATGACGAAAATTCGGGACAGACCACTTCAAATACCAAACTAGAAATGACTCGGCCAAGGCCAGTATGGAATACTGGCTCAATAACAACACGATTACCCATATAAAACTGGGCAATGCGACGTAAACAAGTAAAGTAGCCCAAACTGGACAGGTTATATATACACATTGCAAGGTTTTTTCACAAGCGTCGCGATTGCAAGATTTTTTCACAAGCGTCATGATAGATTCACAAAGGACTTGTTGAAGGCCTAGCTCTCTACCTCTAAAGGACACGAAGTTGGGCAAGGAAAGCGGCACAAAGATCCAAGAAGAGAAACTGCGGACCTTGGACCCTTTGAAGATCAAGCAGGTACTTCTCCTCCCGAGTTTTAAAAAGCTGTTAAGACCCCAAACAGCGGCAAAATATGTGAGCATTTCGTTCTGGATACATACTCGAGCAGTTGACTCCGTTGATACCAAACACAACAGTAGATTGATGACTAAATAAAATTAGAGAAAGTATGGGACTAAGGAGCGATCTAACAAAAACTATTACCTGTACTTCAAACTTGACCACATTTGACATCTTCATAACACCATCATTTTCGATTATGCTGGATTCATCTCCAAAATAATTGTTAATGTGCACAGAATTGTCGATCATGCCTTCATTATGACCTGGAGTGCCAGGAACCCACCTACACTTCATGTTGTAGTGTCCTATCTTCTTCCAACACACCTGCAATTCTTGTAAAGCTTTAAGGACTTCTGTCATTATTTCACGAGGATGTGCTCGAGACTGGCAATAAAAGGCAGCAATAGATCAACAACAATCATATTAATGTTTGAAGTTCACAATGTCCAGAAGAGTCCTACTCCCAAATAATAATACTTAAGCCAGAAAGCCAAAGAAATTTAACCTGAAGGCCAAGAGCCCATTTCCTTTCAACAGGGAACTGTGGTCTAAAGCCCATTCCTTGATACTCCATATATCCAGGAAGGCGGTGCCCAACAGGTGAAGCAGCAGTCTCACTTTGCTGCATACGATTGAAACCACATTCCTGGACCATATCAACAAAAATGAAACACAAATCCAAATGGTGCCAAATCTTAACAGAAACTGAACAGCAGAAAAGAATATATGTTGAGTGTGATAGAAACAGTTCAAGCTTTTGAATAAATTTTCCTCTATCACGTTGCGTATATCTTGGCACATATTATGTTTGTACACAAATCTATCATATTCCTGTTTCCGATGCTGTAAAAGTTTCCCCTAGCTTCTTTCATGTTGTTAGATTACGGCCAACAGGCTTAGTCTTGGGCTTCAAAAGAGGAAATTTTGTTTTCTAACCAAGCTGCTGGTATAATATCGAAAACGGAGGACACATACCAGTGTCTCCTGAAATTCAGCTCCAAGATAGCCACTGGATACACGGAAACGGTTGTCCAATAACAAATAGTATGCAACTGTTCCCTGAAACATGATGCAGATGGTAAGTCTCAGTTGGAAAATCAAGAGGATGAGTTCCAAAGGTACAAACCTCATTTTGTACTCTACCACGAAGCGACTCAACCAGAAGGTTCCTGTCAAATCCCATCTTAACTACCTCCTGAAGAATTTCTTCATCAATCTGCATAAAGAAAGGTGCCACTTGAGAACTTATGATAATAGATAGAAGAAACCAGAAAATTCATTATAACTGCAATTTACAAACGTAAACAGAAGAAAGGAACCTTTTTTGCTTGTTGCATGGTGTCTGGTGGAGGAACAGCTAAATAACGAGGAAGATGAGCCTGGAACCATGCATGCTGACGAATCTCAGGGATGGTCATTCGCTTCATTGGATCAACTACGAGCATTCTTGGAATCAAGTCTCTTGCACCAGGTGACAAATGACTAGGAAGAGTGTATATCCCACCCTGAAGACAAAATGGTGTGGGTTTAGGTCAGGTAACTAATAATCTGCAAGCATATAACTATTTGATTCATGATAGCGAATGAAAAAAATTGATTGTCAGTGGACACAAAAAACCAAAAGCATAAACAGAATTAGATCTTAATATAATTTGAAAACAAAAGAAATAATATATCAGATGAAAACTGAAAAACCAATTTTATAGTAGTAAACAAAAGAACCAGATCTAGCAATACCTTTATTTTCTTAAACAAGTTAGGAATATTTTCATCATCAAATGGAAGTGTGCCACAAAGAAGAGCATATAGTATAACACCACAACTCCACACATCCACTTCAGGCCCAGCGTACAGCTTGCCAGAAATAACCTACCAAAGATAAAAGCGATGTATCATTGGAAAGAGAAATCAAGCCAAGACTGTATGCAAACTACTTCAAAATAATGTGAAAGACATCCAACTACAATCTTTATACCTCTGGAGCAGCATAATTGGGGCTGCCACAACTTGTCTTGAGAAAATGGCCATCACGCATTACGTTGCTCAGACCAAAATCGGCAATTTTCACATTGCATTTGGAATCCAAGAGCAAATTTTCTGGCTTTAAATCTCTATGAACAACCATGTTCCTGTGACAATACTCTACGCCAGATATTATCTACCAAAAAAAATATAACTCATATTATTAGCAAAAACAATAGTAAAATAAATACAACAAGACAATTGACAAATTACCTGTTGAAAAAAGTTACGAGCTTCATCTTCCTGCAGCCTACCCTTCTCTACTATATAATCAAATAGCTCCCCGGACTTCACATACTCCATCACGACATAAATGTCAGATGGTGTTTCAATGACCTCATAGAGTCGTATAATGTGAGGATGCATAAACAATCTCAATATTTTGATTTCTCTTCTCACTGCATCAAATTTAAGGGGCAAAGGGAAGGATAATACAACCAAGTACAAAGCTTTAATATTCTGAATTCAAGACAGAACTCTAAAGTAGAAAAGACAAATGATCAAATTCAATCATCGGTTTACAAAGATAGAGGGCTGACCTTTCTCTTCCATGTCCAAGTTCTTTATCTTGCGGCGGTTAAGGATCTTGATAGCAACTTTATGTCCAGTTAATGCATGCTCTGCAATTTTAACCTTTCCAAAAGAACCAATACCAAGAGTCTTTCCGAGCTTGTAATTTGATAAATAAGTATCCGCACTGCTGCCACCACGGCCAACCGGTCCCTCCATTTTCCTAATCTAAATGTACATCAAATATTCAGATAAACGTGCAAGAGATAACACCAGTTTTTACATTCACATTAGCCGTCCTCATGGTCATGGTTAGCGGGGAGAGACCATACCAAATTCATGTGATACAACATGCACCAACATATACATGAAATTTAAGGTCTTACAGTAATGTCAGTATATACTTTTAAAAGATATCTCTTAGTCATCAGTCAAATAATAAAATATCGAATATACCCACAGGGATTTATAAAAAAAATATATATAAATTCAAGAACCGATAATTGTATAGTACATATCCTCACTTTCAATTGGATCCTATTTTATTTTTAGTTTTATTTTTCCAACAAATCCCCACTGGTTCCATATCTCACACCCTTCTCTCTTTCTTCTCCGGCTCTCTCCTCTAGCTACCAGTTTTTATTCTTCAAGTGCACAAATCGAATTACTTAAACCCCACAAGATTTGGAAAAGCAATGCACCACACTCTTGATTTCACATACTTCATAACAAACATCTTATCAATAAGTTTGCAAGTACAGATGAAATTCACACTGAAACGTTCTCGAATAGTCAAAGCAATGATAAAAGTAGGCAACTTTGATTGGAGCAGAAATTTCACAAACACATAATCAACATAAAAGTTTAAATTTTGACATTACCCCAGCAGACATTACAAGAGCAATAAGCTATCTATCTTGAAAAGCCCTCCCATCCCTGATTTCGATAGATCAGTCATCCAAAAATCCCAAAAACACAGAAAGGAAGATAAACAACAGGGAAAAAAAAAGAAATTGAAGAACCCCACTTTCAAATTGGAAACAGAAAACCAAGTTCGCACAAACCAATCAGTAAAACCTTCAATCACAATAGAAAATTAATAATTCCCAATATTTACAAATTCTGTAACATTTTCCCCCAATTTTTCCAATACCTGCCCAATTTCCAAAGAAACCCAGCTGCAACAGATCTCAAAAAATATCGATAAAACAAACACAATTAACAATAATACAAACCAACACACATTCATGCAATTCTACTCAAACAGACAACACAGAAAAAAGAGAGAGAAAGTAGCGAGAGAGTTACAGAAAATTAAATCCGAAATTGAAGTCGCAAATACGCAAGGCGAAAAGGGTTCCTGCCTTCGAATTGGATTGAGCAAACTGCGGTCGGAGATACCCAGAAATCGAAGAAAGGGACACACAGAAGGGCTCCTTGTCGTCTTTATTCTTTCTCGCTTCGCTTCCCGACTTTCACTCACTCCGCCACCGGGGCCACAACCAACTTGTATTAATCTAATTTACTAATCTCAATTATTTCAACATCAAATGACTGATTGGCCCATGGGATTTGGTGAAACGACAGTGAAGTTCCCATGAGTTGGTTTTGTATTTCGGGGGTAAAATGGACATTTTGCTCGATTGGGTTTGAGAATTTCTTCTTCTCGGTATTGACCCTTAGGAATTAGGAGTTGTAAATTGAGCTTGGATTTTTTTTTTTTTTTTTTTTCCTGTTTACAAATTTTTTCTGTCAACTTTCTTGACATGAAATCGAAGTTTTAAGTTTTACGTAACCGAAATAACTAATTTTTGAATAACTATCAGGAGATAGCGATGATGTTTACTAACGGAAGGGGGATTCAAACACAAAACCTCAGGTGTAAAGACGAATGCTCCATTTTGCAGTTCATTCACCCCTACATATCTACAAGTTTCAATCGTTCACCCCAACCAGGGTGTTTCATTCTCACAGTTTCAATCAAAATACTGAAAAAATAGGCATAATTTGGCTACAAGAATACGAACACAAACTTCTGCTGGATAAACAGTCTTAAAACCTACGAGCCGGAGAAAATACCAACTGCGATGAACTGTGTATGCGTGTGCTGCTTCAATAGCAAGAAGTCATTTAACAACAAATAAATGGAACAGAAGTTACATATGGACCGTTCATGTGTTCTATACAACGTGGATTTTACATCACCGTGTCCGTCGCCGCAAGCATTATTTGGAAATTTGGAGGCAAAAGCCCTCTAGTAGTCCGGAATGGAGGCAAAACGGTATCCGTTTGCACCTCTCCATGCATAATATGCAATTCGTGTCTCGTAAAAGCCTGCAGGTCATAACATTTATAAGAAATCAGTCGGTCAATCAGCGTACTGAGACACGTACGAAGTATTTCAGAAAATGTATCCAGATAGCCAATTGCCAGACTCAGAAATACGGTTTTATGCTTTGCCCCTATGCTTGAGTATTTACATCAAAGCGGAAATTCAACATCAGAATTAGGGCACGTAAAAGTCATATGAAGTTATCCATTCTAGAATCTAGTCCCGCCTACATTAGCATTCACCATATTGTCGATCAGTCATATTAACGGTTAGTTCTCACAAAAGACAATCATAGATAAAGAAGGAAATGGAAATATCTTTTGACTAACCAGGGAGGAAGGTGAGGATTCCGAGCGCCAAAAGGCCATAGGCTTGAGTCAGCTCCCCTCCCATGTGACCGGTGAAAATGAAGTATGAAAGAAACAGAAGCAAAGATCCAAGAGAAAGCAAGAAAAGAGCAAGAACTATGGATTTCCATGGGATTTTATCAAAGGACTTTGGCGTATAGTCAAACCGAGGGTCATTGGGTCTTCCATAAACATCATCATCATCATCATCTGTAGCAAGAGGGCTGTAACGAACATTGCGCCTAGATGACATCACCAAGGATGTTCAATAAGACCTGAAGATCAAGAAAGGAGCAGATATGAATGCAAGGTATACGATCAGGTAAACTTTTACTCATGAACAAATATGCCATCACCAAGGATGTTCAACAAGACCTGAAGACACACGAGGTTTAACTTTTTTCTAACACAAGAAAGTAAAACGTAAGATATGAATGCAAATATGCAAACACAGTGAAATGTGAAAAAAGGTTAATAGATACAATTGCTAAAACTGAATTTCTCTCGCAACACCATTAAAGCTAAAACCAACCGCCCACCTCCTCCGACAAGGCATACGGGAAAAACGAAAAAGAAACTCAAATTGCATTGTCAAGTTACAACACTGCAAACTCCGCAATTAAGATGGCATAAAAAACGTCGAAAATCCATAAACCATGTGACCGAAACTGGACAAAGCATGCTTCTTTCTTCTCAGAACGAAGAACAATAAGTTGGGTTTCCTCCTCCCAGGATTGGATTGAAGTACAGAAAAGATAAATACAACCATTCAAAGACTACCTTATCGAATTCTATACGATTGTATACGATCATGTATACTCCTTCGAACAAGGAAATAAAACTCTCCACACAAACAAAAAGAATCAGTTTTAAGAACAGAATCATTGGCTGAAAGAAAAAGTACAAAAATTTGCAGAACAGAAGAAAATTATGCTCAATTCTTCATATGAAAAGCCAAATGAAGGATGAAATTTCAAGTACTTAATCTGACAAGCCCCAAAAGTACCTCGATTAACAAGTCAATTAACGTTAATCATAATACAAAAATAAAAGGAACAAAAGTACCCAATAAAACCAGCTGCAAAAGATCTCAGAAACTATCAACAAAAACACAAACTTAACAATCATACAAACCACCACACATTCATGCAATTCAACACAGACAATACAGAAAACAAGAGAAAGGAAGCAGAGAGAGAGGGTTACAGAAAATTAAATCCGAAATTGAAGTCGCAAATACGCAAGGCGAAAAGGGTCTCTTCGAATTGGATCGAGGAAATTGCAGTCGCAGAGGCCCAGAAATCGGAAAAAGGGCGACGCACGCTCGCTTCGCTTCCCGACTTTCACACACTCCGCCACTCCGGTTCTGTAAGCAAAGGGGATCACACGCTCAGCCGTTGGATAGGCTTTAATGAGGTTGTGCGGCTGAGATTAAACAGGCCATAAAACCTTTTTTTTTCTTTTTTTTCTTTTTATTAAATTGTAGTAATGATCCTTTAACTTTAACTCAATTGGAGTAATGATCACTTAACTAAAAATTCATTACCATTGGTCCCTCAACTTATCAAAATGTGCAGTTATGGTCCTTAAACTAAAAATTCATTTTCATTGGTTCCTCAACTTTAATCCAACTAGGTAAATGGTCCCTCAACTTTAACTCAATTGTAGCAACAGTCTTTCCAACATAACTCATTTTGACAAAATTCTGATGAAGTTGACGAAAAAGATCATAGTTACAATTTTTGATGAGTTGAGGGACCTCAATTGTAGCAATTGTCCTTCCAACATAACTCATTTTGACAAAATTTTAACGAAGTTAACGAAAATGATCATAGTTACATATTTTGATGAGCTAAGGGATCCATGGTAATGGATTTTTAATTTAGAAATCATTGCTCCAATTTAATTAAAATTGCTACAGTTGATTTTCTCCTTTGCACAATCACGAAGCTGAAAGAAGCCAAAGCTTCAATTCCCAACAGCGAACGCAACAAGATTCGGAGACATCTTTGTGAATTCAGGTATGGTTTTCCTTCTCCTTGAAAATTATAGGTTCAATGATTCGAGTGTTTTTTTTTTCTGAAGTTTATGGAGCTATGTAACGAACATTGCGCTCCTAGATGCCATCACCAAGGATGTTCATCAATTAGGTAGAAATGTCATGATCTGCAGCAGCCGTGAACAGTTTGGTAAAGATGTCATCTTGTTGCCATTGATGTGTGCTTAGCTAGTTGCGTTCTTTGTGCTCTATTTCATGCCATTAACCCAAAAAACAAAGCAACTATGTCTAGTTATCGTATGAGTTGACTCGATCAAAACGCATAATATATACGAAACCAAGGACTCAGCCTACCTGAAACGTAAGAACTCGGTCGTATATACATGCAGGATTTCCAGCCCTATAGAAGGAAAAGGACGGATAATTAAGAACTGGAAGATTATGTTTAACGCACATGATGTTTCCAAGCAATCTCTTGAACAAACTTGAAGTTTGGTTTTATACTTTGATCAGCATATTAATTCTGAAAAGCTTCTGCCCCTCCCCAATTCATCTGCTGATACGCTGTTGCTGTCATTTCTCATACATCGACTGCGTAGCTAGAATTTGAAAACCATACGTAATTATCATTAGGTTTGAATTATTGGTTGCTAATTTCGGTCATGCGTGCAAATATATCTCAACCAACTGTAAAAGTGAACAACTTTATTGAGGGCCATATTATAATAATATTTTGTAACTTCACAATATCAACACTATCAACAATAGCGACGCTATATGGATGTAAATAATATATTGACCAAATAAATAGTATCCACATTTTCTTTAAATGTGGCTAACCAAAACATAGAAACCCTCTCTCTATACACACATATTATGTACAAGAGTAATGTTACGGAGATTAAATTTCAACATTAAAATTTGTAAACTAAATAATACGATTGTTGATGATTGGATTATTGTTTATGTGTTGATTAACGTGCTTACTTTCTATTGCTTAAGATGTTCTAGACAAAGTTTTGAAAACTAAAAGACATGGAAGTTGATGATTAGCTTATTACTTACACGTTGATAAACGTGCTTATTCTTATTGGTGACACGTCATTTAGTTTACTAAATTTGATATCCCTAACATTACCCATTCTATATATACAAAGAACATCGATAGATCATCGTTATAGATTATCCTTTTCTTGACGTGAATCTCATGAAAAAATGGCACTAACATCTCCATCGATCTTTATTCATGCCACTCACAATTTACAGTTTAACAAAAGTAATATCACATCTTTCAGAAAAAAGGCCTATCTAGCTTTTCAGCACTTCCAACTGCTTAGACGGTGTTAGGTTGCCCTACTTGCCTCACTTTAATTAGCATGACTTATGATGTCCCATGCATGGGGATCCATTGTTCGAGCTTAAATAAAACTTTTCGTCATGTATATAATATTTGTAACTTGTAAAAAAGAAAATTAACCATAAAAAGGTTATATAATATAAAATATAACGAAAATTCGATGAAAAGTATGGTGAAATTTCATGGATGTTGCTTGTAACTTGTAAGCATTGATAGCAGTTGGTGTTTTCATCCAAAAACAGGTATAATTTTGTAGACTTGTGAGTCTGTGAGGCCAGAAAAGAGCGAAGAAGAACAAGTAGGGAAACAAAAGCAGCTGGATGGACCTGTAAAACCATATAATTGTGCAATTGTACACATTAATATAGCAGGGGTAACATGTGTGACCATGTGGCCCATGCCAATTCATAGCACACTGAATTTTTGATAGGTTGAGAGAAAAAAAGAAAATTGAAATAGATTATGTATACTAGTTACGAATTATTATACAATGAACCAATCGTTAAATAACAATGTTATACACATATATTAGCAACATTATTGTTATTTTCTTCAGCCAAGTAAGTCTTGACCTATATTCCACACGACACATTTTCGATTCGATTCCTAATGTTAGTGAATCACACAATGGTGGCTAAAGCAGGTTCAAATGTTTTTATAAGTCTTTCTGGCCCTTAAAAGAGTGACTATCGTGGCGAAACCACCAACTGATCTTCTTTTTAAATTAAAAAAGTAAAAAAAAAAAAAAAAAAAAAACTCAGATATTGTATGCGAAACTTACTTGATTAGAAAGTATGTTAGCAATTTGGTCCTTAACTACATGTTAACACACGTGATTTTGCGGTTTCCAAAAGCTTAGACCAAGATGACGGATTGAGATCTTCAAATTCCGATTGACTTATAAACACCTGGAAGTCGACAAAATTGAACTAGGACCCGATAATAATTAGAATATTGGAAAAAAAATAATGATTAAAGATATGAAATGTTTTGCATAATTATAGAGCTTATAATTCGAGTGGTCCTCACATCATGATACATTTTGAATCTAATTAAATTAAATTTGTATGTTTTCAACCTTAATTAGCGTTTTTTGTATTAATCAGATCATCATTGTACATATATTGTTGTAGATTCGTAGCACACTATACTCATCAAATAAAGAAGATTATACCGACAAAGTAATAAAAAATATTGTATTAAATTAGTAAGTAACTTGAGATATCGTCACACTGTCATTTTCTGTTTAAATAAATTTATATCTCGTGTGCGCGAATCTATCAATTACGCATTTTTAGAAATAGGAGTTAACATTTTAACAACCAAGGTAATTAACAAGTTCATATTTCACAGGACAGATAGGAACAAGATATATAGAAAAGTTAAATCTTCGTAAACAAAAAACAAATGGGAAAAATCTTTTCTCTCTCCCTCTCCCTCTCCCTCTCCCTCTGTCTCCCTCCTCTCTCTCTCTCTCTCTTTCTCTCTGTTTCTCCCACCGAAATCTCGGACACAATTTGCTGAACTCAAGGCCAATAATGCATACGATACGAACATCGAAACACCCACCGAACCCCTCTGCAAAACAACACTTCTGCTCATTTTATATATAAATCAAACCCTCCTCACCATTTCTCCTGTTCTTCTTCTTTCACAAATATTTAGAGGGTTTATTTATTTATTTGTAATTTAACTTATCCAAGCTTCAAGGAAGACAAGCAGCTAGTTCTAGCATCGGACCCGGATCCGACATTGTCGGATGAGTCGGAATCTCTGTCCCTCTCTCTGTTTTTGTTGTTTCAGAGAGAGGGAAACTGCAGCATTCTGGCAACAAGGTAAAGTTTGATGTTTTTAATGATCGCTTATCTGTCTATTTTTTGGCCATTGATTGGTTTAGATTTTCTGGTTTCTCTCCAAAGTTTCATATATTTATTTTCATATATGTAAAGTTTCTCACTTTCCATTTCCTGCATTAGTTTCTTTCCCCCTCAAATTTTGGAACTTTTCCTATTTTTTGGACTTTGATTGCGTTTGACTTTCTGGGTTTTTATTCACAGCTCCAAATCTTCAGTTTCATCCAAGTGCTTTTGTGCTTCTTGCCACTTTTAAGTGCTTTTGGAACTAAAAAATATTTTCTCTAAAAACGCTTTCAATCATTTCATTTTAGAAGTACTTCTTAACAGTCCAAAGTCTATCGCTTTCCATATCTTGCATTTAGTTTAAATTTCCCAATTTTTTTTTTTTGTGGAAATGCATTTTGTTGTATGTTTCTACTTCATATTTGTTTGTTGGGTTTTTGTATACTTTTTATTCACGAAACGTCACATTTTGACGCTTTTATTGTCCTTGTGATGGGGACAAATGATCGGTCTATTCCTTTTTATTAATAAGCACTTCAATTTTTATTTGTGATGATTGCTTGCTTTCCTGTTCATTTGTCTTCTTTAACATCTTTGGAAGTGGGGTCTCCTGCCGTTTCTTCTACCTTTTGCAATTTTAATATCTTTTGTGGAAGTTAAAACTGAAGCTTCCTTGAAACTCAAACTCAAAGGTCTCTCTCTCTCTTCCTTTATATGTATGCTTCTGCCAGTTTGAAAATTCATAAAAGGGATGCAGAATTGTTTTCTCGGTATGTAATTCTGCAACTTTTCAGAATCTGTGCTATGAAATTTGCATATTTTTTTGTTATATCAGCATCTGCAGTGATGTTCTTTTGCATCTTTCTGTTTGTTTTCATTTTTCATATATTTTTGAAGTTTTTTAAGCCATTATTTATGTTGGAATTCTGAGATTAGATCAGTTGTTTCAAGTCAAATGAGAGTTAAAACATCCAAGATACATTACTCTAATCCGTTTCCTAATTGCTCATCTGTAGGCATACTTAATTTGATAGCTTGTTATTTAAGATAATATAATCATATTTTAATAGAATATTACAGTGATGAACATTTTCAGTCAGTGAAGAAGTTTTGCAAAGAAGTCACAAGTTTTAAAACACCGTTGTTGTCGATAGATTTTACAGCCGATCATCTATCATCTTATCTTACTTAAACGGGATGGTATTTGTTTTAGCTGATAAAAAAGTATAGGGAATAAGGTTATGTTGAGTTTTTATTGAGGTGATTTGTACCAACTTTTTGGTCATGCTTGTGTTCTTGTGAGCCGGGACTAAAATTCGGGATTAAAAATTTATGTTAATGGATTATCATGATGAACAAATTGATTGTGTTGTCTGGATTGTTTGCGATCTAAGAAACTGCTTTCCGAGAATTCTTTTGTTCTTCTCTGATGTACTTTGTTTCAGTTCATTGTAGGCACACCAATTGGAGGACTTTATGAAGACTTCGCTGTAGTTTGGATTTGCATGATTTAAAAGCTGCAATGGGTGGTTGTGTGTCAATCCCCGTCCAGAACAATTAAATCACGGAAGAAACACCGTCAGAGGGTCAACAAACGCCATGGAAAGATAACCTGCTCTGCTTCTGATGGTACCAAGAAGAGAAACAGCGATGCAGGAGCTCGCGTAACTGATTATTCTGTGAGTGAGTTTGTTCTTGCGGACTTTGAGAATGGTGCAACAACTACTCACAGAAGATCTAAGGTTTCTAATTCTACGTTCCAACTCACCCAGATGCAGTGGCACTGCCAATATGATTCGAATGGTTGTTCTTTTTTTTTCATCAGATTTCAACTGTCTTTCAACCGAAAATGCTGACTAGAAAAATTCTTAGCTCTTGAATCTCATATTTTGAAAATTATTCACTTGCAGTAATTTGCCAAGAAGAAACTTGGTTCGACTCAGTGAGTATTCTGGAATCTGACTCGGACGATGAATTTACTAGTATACACGGAGGTATTGGCCATCGACCTACAACTACATACACGCATTCACAAACACAGCATATAGACATTACTCTTGTCTTGTTTTATTGCGAAATGTCAATACTACTGAAGTAATTTTATGAGCTACTTATTGGAAATGTTTTGTTTTGTTTTTAATTTTCTTCCCTGTTCTACAGATGGTTTTCCATTAGCAGGAAATCCCATTGGGAATATCTCAGGTGGCCACGTTGTTCAGTTCGAAAGATCTGCACGCTTTGTAGATAACGGGTGTAAGTATGAAGAATACCAAAGCTATACAAAAATAGATGGAGGTAAATCGGATAAGTTCGTGGGGAAGGATGACGAAGTTTGTAGCAAGAGGAAGAATATTCTGGATCATTCTTATGGAAGCTTTAAAGGACTTAGAGAGGATCGACGTGATTCTAATGAAAAGATTCCAGGCAATATGCTTAAATCTGGCTTGCCTCGAATGATACCTTCTGTAAGTTTCAACGATAAGATATTAAGTGCGCAGAGTTTGGCTCCACAGGCCCAAAGAAAGCCATCAGCAGTTTTCAGGCTTTCTTTTAAGAGGAGATCGTGTGATGCGGACGAAACCATTGAACAATGTAAGTGATCGAATACTTTATGTCTTTGAGTACAATTAAAATTTTGGAGTTTTGAGATTGTTGTACATCTATGTTACTGAACATAGCAATGATAAATCCGCAGGTCAATCAAAAAGGTTTCTGTATTGTCCTAGACCAGGATGTATCATTCCATGTTGTAGAGTAGAGAAGCTGACTTCAGGATCTTGGTCTGAGATTCCACCCTCAACTTTCAAACTCCGTGGCGAGAACTATTTCAAGTATGATTTTGGTTTTTCTTTCTTAAAACCAACCTTGACTGAATTTGAAACTAGTTACTCTTTTCGGTTTTTCTTTGCTCTAATGAGAAATACTATTTCTGTTTATCAGGGATAAACGAAAGTCACCTGCTCCAAACTACAGTCCATATACTCCAATAGGTGTTGATTTATTTGTGTGCCCCAAGAAGATACATCACATTGCCCAGCATCTTGAGCTTCCCAAAGTAAAAGCCGACGGAAAAGTGCCTTCACTCCTCATTGTAAATATACAGGTACTTTCAGAGAACTAAATTACTTTGGTATGCTTTGTTATTTACACCGTCCTCATCAGTTTCTTATGATATTGCCCTCCGCGTTGTTGCAGTTGCCTACTTATCCCACTGCAATGTTCCTCGGTGATAGTGATGGAGAGGGAATGAGTCTCGTAATGTATTTCAAAATTTCTGAGAGTTTTGAGAAAGACATCTCTCCTCAATTCCAGGACAGCATCAAGGTAACTTCATTTCGATTAACTCTTTCGTGATAAACTTAACATTTGGATTATCTATTGGTATTTACTCAGGTTTATTTATCTATGTGAATAATGTTTCAGAAATTGGTTGATGATGAAACGGAAAAGGTTAAGGATTTGCAAAGGACTCCGTTGTACCTTTTAGAGAAAGGCTAAAGATCATGGCTGGGGTGGTTAATCCTGAGGACCTCGGTCTAAGTTCTGCTGAAAAGAAGCTTGTAAATGCATATAACGAAAAACCAGTTCTTTCGCGTCCTCAGCACAATTTTTATAAGGTAAGCATTGAACCATTGACATTGCTAAGTTTTACATAGCAAAAAGTACCGTGTGTGTGACTTTCATCAAGCACTTTCACATGCAGGGCCCTAATTACTTTGAGATTGATCTGGACATTCATCGCTTCAGCTACATATCGAGGAAGGGTCTCGAATCCTTTAGAGAGCGTCTAAAAAACGGAATTCTGGACATGGGTTTGACCATCCAGGTAACCAGAAATCTTGTCACATTCACTAATGCTGTCATATTCATCGGTCTGACTGCAAATTGTTTTCGTGTTACTAACTTGATGTTTTCGCGCTTTTTATAGGCACAAAAACAGGAAGAGCTACCAGAGCAAGTGCTGTGTTGTATGAGGCTGAACAAGATCGATTTTGTTGATCACGGCCAAATACCGAGTCTAGTGACCGTTGAGGATGAATGATATAGATGATGAGACGCAGGGGATGTCATTTCGAGTGACCCGGCATACACACGTTGCCGGCGACATTGATGATCAAGATGTCCTTCTGTAAATCAAAAGAAAAAGAGATGTTTGTCATTGTAGCCATGGAAGTGTTCCTATATACCGTTTCAATAATGGTGATTAAGTGCTTGTTTGAAAGTGCTTTTAAAATGATTGAAAACGTTTTTGCTGACAAAGTTTATGAAACCAATCTTAGTAATAATTTAAGTGGATCCTGGAAAAGCATTTCAAGTGCTTCTTGCAAGAAACACATATATGATGCTTCTTCCAAAAACCAAATCAGTTTTACCAAAAATATTTTCAATCATTTTAAAAGCATTTCCAAACGAGTCCTAAATAAGCTACTTTAGGATTTAGGATTTATTAGGACTGAGGTTTAATGTTTGATTACTTGATTACTTGTATGCCATCTTCTCCTTCAAGTCCCTTGTATATCACAACTAATATGGAACTGATACATCATAAGTTCATACCCAACCAATTGGGGTGGGCAGATTTGATTTGAATCGAACCCCAACGTATCTAAATTACAACAAAAAAAAGGGATATCCAAAATACAACCAAACTATGGAACTGATTGGTATTACAGTCTAGTGTTTAGTGTTATTATTTTTCCTTCAAGTAATAATTTTAGGAGCGAATCAACAATTTATTTTTTTACCAGTAAAATGAAGGCGTTAGTGGATTAAAAATTTATATTTGTTGGATAAAAAATAAAAAGAAAAGTTTGAATATGCAAGGGCATATTAGAAATTTGATTCTGTGACATGGTTTAGGGTTTCAGTATAAAACGGGTGGAGGAGGAAGGCAGAAGAGAAAATGGTGCCCGAGGCCGGGCGCTTCCCTCTTAAGGAAGAGGCGGCGTGGTATTCCACGGGAGAGGTTTATTCGTGGCGCACGTTAGTGCGTTGGGCGCACATTAACGACCCAACCTCTTTCTTAACGGGGAGGTTGCGGTTGGGGGTTCCATGGCCGCTCTGTTGCTCCAGTTTTTGCAGCATGCGCTGTCTGTTTGCCCTACATCTCAAATCTCTTTCCTTTTTTTTTTCTCTAAAACCCTAATTTTCTTGCTTCTAAAATCTATGAAAATCAATTCTTTTTTCTCTGAAACCCAATTTCTTGCTTTTAAAAACCATTTATTTCTTTCGATTTGACGGTTTTTTGGGTAATCTAATCGCAGTTCATTTTGTTCATGGTCTCTGATTTTTGTCGTTTATTTTTTTTTAATTTTCCCCGTATTTTAGTATCCCACACGGAAATTACAAATTTTGGCAAACAACAATTCAATTAGACAAACAAGTCTTGAGTTAGGTCAATTGGTTATAATACTAGGACTCTGTTTGTCAATTGGTTATAATACTCTGACTCTGTTTGCACTCGATAGTTGCTTAGGGTATTGTGCAACTCGGTTTTAATCTCCAGCGCATTAGTTAGGTTAGTTGGTCATGATATTATGATTTTTTCTTTACACTCAAGTTAAGTCGATTAAAAGATTGTGAAACCCGAGTTTTAATCTCCACGGCGTGAGTTAAGAGTAATTTAGAGATATCATTGTCAAACAAACAAATCAAACAAAACGTTACAGAGGTTGTCTTTAGACTTTAATCATGATATATATTTACTTTTAAATAAATAACAATTTCAAGATGCCCATCAAATCATTCAAGAAAAAGAGATTTGAGCACTTGAAAAATGAAAAGGGCAAAATGGTAAGCATCGAGATCAGAGGCCCAGAGAGACAAGATGTTTACTAAAATGCCTATGGTGTTGTACATTTGTGATTTTTTTCTTTCTTTGGTTCATGATTCAGAGAGCGTATTTGACTCATGAAATTTTGTGGCAAGATAAAAATGCCTTCCGAGCTCCAATACCTGAGGATTTTGATTGCTTGATTCAACAAGCACTGCCTGCTATTGCACCATTTCTCTTGAAGAAATTAAGTTCAACTCATGACACGTAAATCACCGTCGCCTTTGTCGTGTATATACAACTATTTGTATTACGTTTGCAGATGACCATCTCAAAGAGCAAGTTGTAAAGGTTCGGGTTCTATCTCTGTAACACAAATGATAAGTGATGTGGTTTAGTAATATGATACATGTATAATAACATAGTAATTTATGCTCCACTGAGATTAAGAAGAGATTTTTCAGTATGACCATCATATGGGACGGTACACAATGAGGTGGGATATGTGTGTTAAAAAGTTAATTACTTAAAAAATAAAATTCTCCACCATTTACATAAAAACATATGGTGTATCATCTGTATTTCTGTCACAACTAAAAATATCTCGGGATTAAGATTGGCGTATGTACCTTTTTCAAACCTTGATCGTCGAGCCACATGGCGTATATGGCTTTCGTTCCTTCGCAAGTGTTCATCGATTCTACACGGTTGGGATAGTAGGGGTCCGGAAAACTCAATGTCACGCTTCTCTTCCGCAATGTAATCCTATTACATTGTTGAAGGATAAGTCATAGTAATTAAGGTAAAGCATTTGGATCAACTGTATCAAAGGTGATGGTTTTGTTCTATGTTCTTACCGTGTTGTTTCCTGTATCATCTGGCTCTTCTGTACTAATAAGTTCAGACGCGTCGAAAGTTCTAAGCTTTCGTATAGCCATCCTGCCAGTTCTATGTCCTTGTTTTAGGTCATATGTACTCCTTGCGAAATTTGCATCAAGTGCACTGAACTGACTTTTCGAGCCGTCTGAAACTGCGGATTTAGTACCATCCTCGGTTCCCCTTTTAGCCCATGCAAAGCCGCTTGCTGCTGAGGTTTGTACGGAAGACAATGTACTATCTCCCAGTGATGCATTCAACTCGCAATTCTCCGAAACTGTATCAAATTGCGGTTTTAGATTAGACTCGCGGCGCAGAAGCCCTCCTTTCGCCCTCAGGATAAGTGGGTTACCACCATTCATTCTACGAGCAGATTGAGTATGCTCGTCTTGCCCATCCTGCACACCCAAAGGATTAATCACTCAGTTAGAACTCGCTTGCTTCATGCTTTCATGCTTCCATAAAAAAATACACACACTCCCACACGCGCAGGCGAGCATGAATAGAGATAGAGAAAGACCTCTTTTGGTGCCAATTTAGTGGAACTATTTGACTCGAGCAAGGCCTTACGGACTCTCCTTGGTTTCCTTGTCTCTCGTGCTCGAACACCAGGTTTTTTTCTGAATAATGTAACAAATATAGCCGTCTAAGTAAACAATTGAAATCACTTCTAAGTAAACATCGCAATTAGAAATGAAAACACCCGCAGAGTCCTACTGACATCTGAATTACAACCTTAGTTTAAACGAAAAATTTTACCTTTGTGATTCCTCCCGAATTTTAGCATCCATTTCTTTGGTAGGAGGATACTTTGGCAAATGTGACGGATCGCATGCATAAGGCTTTGTTTTGAAGTACTGCAAGAAGAGAGGCCAAGACAAAGAAGTAAATCAGCAAAGGCAGAATTTTGTATGCTCTTAAGAACGTCTCTTCAAACAATGTTGAAAGTAATTTGCCGTCATAGAGCTTTGAGAGTATATTTTTTAAGAAATGTACCTCAGACATTAGGGCAGAGGAGACAGTCCCGCGCTTGTAAGGTTCTACCGAAAGAAGATTCTCTAACATGTCTACTGCAGTAGTTGGAAATTCTTTACACCTCTCCCTAAGAGAATTTTCGTAAGTGTGCTGCGGTTTAAACATTGTTGCGTGAGGAAGCTTTGACGTTTTCCAGTATTCTTCAGGCGGCGAACCACAAAGCTTGAAAATTTTGTGCAGTTGTTCGACCTGTAAAACCAGAGGGGAGCTATTAACTTCATCTCGAATTCTAAATCCCATATTGCTAAGGAGGACTCTATTTAAAATCCATCATTAGAGAAACTTTTAGCGTTGGACATTAATGTTGTAAGTAATCACCTCAGTTCTTCCTTTAAGGATAGGCTTTCCTAGAAACAGTTCTGCAAATACACAGCCCACGCTCCAGAGATCCACCGAAACTCCATACTCAGTTGCCCCCATCAAAAGTTCAGGAGGACGGTACCACAAGGTCACCACACGACTTGTCAGTGGTTGCTTGCTCTTTGAGTTAACGACATTAGCCAATCCAAAATCTCCCAACTTTAGAATCCCATCGTCGTTTACCAAAATATTCGAGGCCTTGATATCTCGATGCATAATACCTCTTAAGTGACAGTGCTCGACTGCGGATAATAGCTGCCTCATGTAACATTTAATCTACACAGAAGAAAGACCAACCAAACTTATTGACTTGTCTGGCAACGTTCAAACGGTTCAACAAAACTTGTTAGGCAAGAAACTAACCTGCATGTCGCTGAATTTGATCTCGGGACTAGCTACAAGTCCTGCAAGATCGTGCTCCATGTACTCGAATACGAGATATATGCTATTTGATGATCGAGATGTTATTATGCCCTCCAATTTCATGATGTTCGGATGATCAAGCCTGCGAAGAATCATAATCTCTCGAGCCATAAACCTAATACTCTCTGGTTGAAAATTGTCAAATCGCACTTTCTTGAGTGCAACAATCCTCCCAGTTTCGACTTCCTTAGCTCGGAACACACTGCTGTATGTACCTTGTCCAATCTGCACGCATCGAAATGAACTAATGTCATAAAGCAATAAACTGTAAGCAAATTCAAAATTTTAAAAATGTAGGGCAAAGCATTAGAAACTACCATTGAATTACATCAAGAACAAAATCCCATTACAAGTTTTTAAAGGCTTGCACATTTAAACAAACTAAAGATGTGCCCTTGCAATTAGATTTATTAGTGATTAATTAATAATGTCATTAAAACTAATGGAAAATGGGAAGATGATCCATGAAAATGTACCTTTTCCAACTTCTCGTAAGCATCAGCTTTGAGGGGGATCCATCCATAAATGGCCTCGCCGGCGGCGGCGCTGAGCCAAGAGGGCCAGCCGGCGGAGACTTGCTCAGCCTCCAAAGAAGAACGACTGGAAAAACCCAACCTGAAGCTAAAGGTGCTACCTTTCCCGCCATTGTGACTATTATGGCTGTGATAAGACCCCTCCTTCTCTTTCCTGCTCTTCTTCGACTCTCTCCCTCCGACGACGCTCCGATCCTCCGAGACGTCGCCCGGTCGATGATTCTGCGGGTCCTTCTTGCTACCACTCTTCTTAAATTCCGAAGAGTTCGATTTGGACTTTGGTTTGGATTTGGATCGGCTGACGTTGTTGGTGGTGGTGGTGGCGGAGGCGGAGGCGGAGTTGTCCTTTTTCAAGGAAGATGAAGAGGGCTGGAGGAGGACGGAGCCATTGTGCGAAACTGCGGCCGAGTACTCGTAACAAGGAGAAGCCGTGGCAGCCGCCCTCTTGGAGCTGATGCAACCCATTCACCGCCACCGCCAAATCCCGCCAGCATCTATCGATCGGATAATGTGGGGGGAGATCGCCGAGGGATCGAACGGCGGAGATCGGGAGAAGGGTCGATAAGGGGGAGGGCACCCCTACAGCGTTAGGGCAGTCTCAAAAATGGGTTCGCATTTTCTTCAAGCCAAAGAAAATCGAGAAAACAGAGGCGGCCATATTTGGGTGGTTGTCCCAACGAGCCGGTCTTCCTCCCTCCTCGGTTATTGCGAATTGTGCGGAGGGGATTATGAGGATGTCGCGACTAACGGACCGGAAACAGAGGAAGCAACAGCAACATCGTTTTCACAGTCGACATTGATTTGCGTACGTGGGTCCCTGTTTTTCATCATCTTTTCTCTTTCTCTGTTTTTGTTTTTGCTTTTGTTTTTTATTTTTGGGGTTTGTGATTTGGGAAAAGAGGAAAAGGTGGGAAATGTAACCGTTGTTGTTTGTTGGTTGCTTTCATGCTTTCATGGTGTTTGGTGCGGTGTACCTGGTTGGACAATGGACAGTCAGTCGCACAGTGACAGGGAAGAGAGAGAAAAAGTAGGAAATTTTAGAGATAGAAGCTAGTAGGAAGTACTTCCGCACACAAGTGCTTCTTTTAGAAGCATTTAAAAAAAACACTTGAAAGTACTTTCGTGGCGCATTTGTAGAGAATATTTCGACAGTATATAAACGCTTTTGAATCTTTTTTGACAAATATAATCAGAAACGTTTTGAATCATCAAAAAACACGTTTAGTCATTCCAAGAGCATGTCGTCTAAGAAACTTTAGAGAGAGAGAGAGAGAGAGAGAGAGAGAGAGAGAGAGTTGTGTGATGAGTGATGTTGTATGAAATGGGGAGGTGAGGGTGGTGGTGATGGAGGTTGCTGGCCAACTACCCAACAGCCTTGGTGCTGTGTATGATTATATATCCAGAAGCAGGCTATATATTATTAGCTTTTTTTGTCGCCCCTGTATTTTTGTGTGGTTTTGGATCTTTGGCTCCTCCGCTTGTTCGATAGAAAAACAGCAATAAATAAATAAAAATAAAACACCAATCTTTCCTAATCCACATCAAATTGTTTACAATATATGTCTCTGTTAGCAGACCATGCTATTCAATGATTACCAGTTTAAATTCATAAATTCCTTTTCATTAAATAGTATGTGAATTAAATGTTGTCACCTATTATAATCCTAATGTATTTTCTCACTGTCCGTTCCTTGTGACTTGAGATAATTGAAATGTTTAATGTTTATTAATTGAAGTTGTGCTAAATTTTATGAGTTGGGAAATAAGCAATTCCGGATTAGATAAATAAATAATTGATTCAAATTATTGAGTGTTTCAGTTCTTTATGTAAGTTGTTCAACGTTGGAACTGTTATTTGGACGCAAAAACTAATTTATGACGTGTTTACTAACTCGAAATTAAAACACATTTTCGATGTATTTTCGCAGTCAAAGTACAAACAATACCCCGAATGGCAAAAGAGTTGTCCTGCTTCAACTTCTTTTGGTCGCTTTTGAGCCGCTCATATAACAGCCCACATAAGCAGGTACCAAAAAGTATGAACATCTCAAATGAGCAATTAAGCAGAAGCAAGATGGACATATAATAGCCAGGTAGCTTTGCTTTGTTCCAGTAAAAAAAAAGCCCAAAAACGTGCCGTCACCCGTTTCATGAAACGGATGTCTCGCATTTGCTATATCATTGACCGGCACACGAGCTTATACGTGAGAAATGTAACCAAAAAGAAACAACCAACATAGATGGAAATAACTGAAAAAATCCAGGTAGATTCAAAGCACATTTATACATGAGTTGTATACTTGTGTATTCGCATTTCAGCGAGAAGTAAGTCTATACGAATACGACCCTATTTCTGCATTCGAATTTACAAATAATGTTGGGCCTATGCAGCCAAGCCTATAAACCATTTACATGTGCAGCAATACATATCAAAAAGATCACACACCTTCTCTGTATCTGTTCATTTTGCATCGTGTTAGTTGGTTGGACTTGAATACTGACCTTTACTTAACGGATTTCACCAAAGCACTTTAAACAAAGATTTGCTCTTCTTTTAGCTGAAGAAGTACCGGTCTCTGGTCATTGTTTCCATATAGGGTATGCTGTGCAGCCCCAGGCGCTGGTGGTTTTAACTGTGATGCACTACTATTGGCCGTGTTGTGGCTGCTGTTTCTTGCTGCTGGAACATCATGGTTGTGTTTCCCTTCGTATGTAGTGATGACGGCTTTGGCATCAGTGGAAGCTCTCTCAACATGCTTACGGACATTGCATCCCACAAAAGTGCATTTGTAATAGCTTCTGTAAGCAAGTTAGTATTAGAAAACATGCTCACAAAAGGAAAACCATTTGGAACCAAAAACATTAGTAGTAAATTCTTCACATATTGTACATGTACGCTAAAGATGTGACGCTCTAAGATCAGAAAGTAGTCGTTTCTTAATCAATCCGAGCATAAGTAATCGTGAATTCATCCCAATCTCTAAAGATTTTTTTTCTGAATTTAACGCTATATATCATCTAATAGTTCTTGATTTCACCTCCATCCATTAAACAATATGCAAAATTCTCGGAATACTTAATTGCCCTTTTTAAATTCTGGCCAAGAAACATGCAAGCCTATTAATTCATTAATAGTGAATATTAACATGTCAGAAACAATTTAGCGAGAACAAACTACTTGGCTTTGCATATAATGCAATAAGTAAAACTGAAACATTTATATGGAAGAAGTTACCACCTTGGATGAGGATTCCCCTTGACCACCTTTTGTCCGTACTTGCGCCACCTATAACCATCATCTAAGAGATCAACTTCACTCCTAGTTTGCACAATGATTTTTGGTTCTGTGACCGTCTTATGTGGCAAAGCTACCTCAGATGCGCCAACGTCTATGTTTCTGCACTCACATACAAGGATACTTGAATATTAAAAAGAAAGAAATGTAAACAATATACTATGATTTTATGCAAAATGATAGGCTTGAAAATACCTTCTCTTTGCATTAGGTTCATCAGCATCTCCCTCTTCTCTACTTTCCCCATCGCCCAACTCTTCATTGTCATTTTCCCCCGGTAACCGTCCAGAAGCGGCTTGAGTAGATTCTTGATCCATCTCAGGTCGTGGGTACGAAGCTACATTTTCACTCGACCTATTTGAATCTCCAATCCTTCTTTGTAATCCGTTTTCAGGCTTAGGCCCGTTCAGATCACCATCTTTTGAGCGTTTACTCGGTTGGGGGACTTCATGGTTATGCTGCCCTTGTAGATAATCTCAGTTATTTCTCCATTAGGAGAACGCTCGACTTTCTTTTTGACAGGGCAATTCATATGTGTGCACTTGTAGTAGCTTCGAGGAAATTCACTGCCTTTAACCTGCTTCTGCCCATATTTCCGCCAGTTGTAGCTATCGTCGGCAGGCCTATCAGTGGATGAAGGTTGGTATTTCTTATCAGAATGAGATGCCTCTGGGGATTGCCTTGCAGAACTTTTAGATGTTGAGGGCAATGTCTGCTGCTGAGAAGCTTCATTGGGCATTAAGGATTGTTGACGTGCCTCTGGCTCTGTCGGGGATGCTACTGAAGAAGGTTGATACTCAGGTTGCATGTACACACGAGATTGGGCTAGCGCAGCTTGAGCAGTAACCTGTGCCAAGGCCTGCTGGTGTGACATTCCAAATGGACTCTGCATCAATATGAAGAACAATACATGAATACCGGATACTAATTCAAGTCAGCCACCTTCAGAAGTCATATTGTATTGTGTAGAAAGACAATGGGGAACGAAAGACCCACACGAACATAGTTCCATATCGTCTGTCACAAAAATGCATCAACAAATTAACATGTTTAACAAGGTTTGAGGAGCTTTTAACAAAAAGTATAGGATGTTAACCTCAAGTACCTTTCGTATACATAACCAAATCTAATCAGGGATTCTAACCACACTAAACAAATAAACTCGTGATTGGCGAATCGAATAATATAAACTATGCTCAACACACAGGCACAAGAAGCACCAACATACAGCTTTTGAAAATGGCATAACAAAGTTGATGTTTTGTAGAGAAATCCAACTTTCGTTGCACACAATTTTGTGAAGAAATCCATCATTTCGTGACAAAATTGGTGGAAAGAAAGCAACTTTAACCAAAACCCATCATTCTGCAATACCATATTCCAATACTCAACACAAAAGAAAGCACATTTTACTTTAACTTTGACGTAGCCGCCCAACAGTAACTAACCAAACTCTCACCAACCACCAACAAGACAGAGCAAACCCAAGAGTGACAGTAAATTTCGTAGAGATTAGATAAAATTTACCTGAGGTGAATAAAAGCCAGGTGAGTTGAGCAACCCGGAGGGGCTGAGCCCCGGAGGAACAGTAAACAATGGCGGACGAGCCACCGCCAAGCTCATCGGCCTGCTCTGCTTAAACCCGGAACCGCCCTCCCCGCTTTCGGAACCTCCGCCTGATTTTCCCAAACCATCAGCTGGGTTCTCGGTAAAAAAGCTCATCCCCCTTGTGGAACCCATCGGCGAGCCCATAGCTCCGGCGAGGAGCTGAGAGAAGGACCTGAAATCCGACTCAGGGTAGGTGTCGAAGAAGTTCGAGACCAGAGTCATCGGGCCCGGGCTCGCCCCAGATCCGCCGCTGAAAAGGGCCTCCGCGGACGGCCGCGGGGGGAGTGTTATCACTGGTCTTTGCGTCGGCGGCAGCGGCGGTGCTGAAACTGTGACTCTGTCAGAGTCTTGGGTTTTGGAGGCCATTGATAAGTATATCAAGCAATCAAGCAAGCAGCTTTTTCCTCTGTTTTTCTCCCTCTAAAATCCTCTGTTTCTCTCTCTCTAAAACTCTCTGTTTTTCTGTGTTGTTTTTGCTGCAGGTGGTGGTGTTTGCTTGGTTTTGTGCTCTGCTCTCAGAAATCGATTGGGTTTTTTTGGTGGTTTCGTGCTGTCTCGAACTTCAAGTGGAAAGTCCACGGAGCAGAAAATGGACAATGACAATTATTATTGGTTTTTATATTTAATTTTTAACTCTGTTTAATTAGTTTAATTAATTAATTTTTATATATTTTCTGGAGATTTTATGGTTTAGTTATGTCCAAATGGCAAGTATGCTCCAAAGTGAAAATTTGAGACCGATGGAAGTTTGGGACTTCAATCTTTTATTGCCCTACGAGACCGGCAAGTAGGGTCAAGACAACCCACAACACAACGAAAACATTAGGGGTCGTTTTATGTTGTTTTCAAAATTACCGGCATCTAAGGGCTTGTTTAAAGTTGCAAGGGAACATTTTTATCATCGATAGTTTTGAAGTTAAGTCTTACTACTAGAGTGTATTATGTTTGGAGGGAATGAAACAACTGTAGATTCAAGAACTCATGTCAACTCGCTACATGATTCTCAACAATTAAGTCCATCATTAGACTTTGATTGAATTCTTTGAAAATCGCCCATTTCACATCTACTGACTCTACTTTATGGGAATGGAATATAACTATGAATAGTTATTGCTTATTTTTGCTGCTTTGATGCAGCGTTGTT